AAATTGGAGCATGTGGTAATTATGTGCTATTAATAAGACTTGGGTTTTGTTATAAACTTGAAAACCCAACCATTCAAAGAATAAAGCTGTTTGGTACAGGGTGAGAGAGTGATAGACAAATGATAGGGAGCAATTTATGTTAATTTATATAATAGAAAATTCCTTCCTCTACTCCCAGGGGAAAAAATATCTGCCAAAATGACATGGTCAGGGCACAATCAATGAGCAGAGCCATCATTCTGTTTCAGAGATCTTGCACAGCAATTATGTCCAAGCTTAATGCCTATAAAAAAGCAAGCTATTTGTAGTAATAAGAATGAATGAACACAGCCTATGGTGTTGAGAGTATTTTTTAGGTTCAGCATGAAAGTTCAGTGTGATGTCAAAGACAGTGAGAAAGACCAAAAGAATTGGTACAGCAGACCAGGTCCTGAAGAATGGCCTCTTCAGTCCTCCCTGGCTCTCAACCATCAGAAACCATTGGGTCTCAAACCAGACTGTGCATAAAATCACCAGGAGTGCCTTTTAAAAACAATGATGCCTGGGTGCCACCATGAGACAACCAAATCTGTTGGGGGTGGAACTATGGCATAAAGTGATTCTCCTGTGCACCAGTGAAAAGAATTGGTGTTTTTTTAATGTGGAAACCTTGCATTGATCTCATATATTGTATTCCCAGTCTTTTCTCACTTTGTACCTGCTCACCTCCCACCTACCCTTCTACCGTTGTGAATTTTACCTGGAAACAGAATGTACCCCTTGCACTTCTGGATGTAGGGCCCTGCACTCCTTACCTCTCCCCTCATGCCCATCTTCCCTCTCTAGAGAAACCTTTAGAGACGTATCAGCATTCAGTCCTCACAGACACATCCTCATACTGAGGGAAACTGAGATAAGAGAGATTAACGAGTCCAGGGCCTGGTGTGGTGCTGCAGGATAATGTACTGGACAGCAAGGCCAGTTTGAGCCACAAGGTTGGCAGTTCAAACCCACCAGCTGCTCCTGAGAAACTGAGTCAGAACTGACTCAACAACACTTAACAAAAATAACAATCTAGGGCAGGGGACTTTTGAATGCTTTTTTAGCTTTATTTCTAAATAGGGGTTCCAGAAGACTGTTTTCCCCACTCCTTTTCCAATTAACTATTCCCAAGGCTAGATTTCCTTTTCCTATATTATTCAGTATTTCAGAAGGAAACCCCATGGGGACTCTGTCATTCCCAAGACAATGGTCCTCTAACCATAATCAACAGAGCAACGTTATTTCATTAATTAGATTGAGGAGTTTCATACCTACAATTAAATTGGCTTGCTTTTTCTCTAAGTAGCAGAGAAAAGTTAATGGATTACTAACTTCTATCTGTCCATGTATCTATCAGATATTAACTTGTATCTGTCCTTGTGTATATATATCATGTATCTAGTTCACTCAGCATAATGTTCTCCAGGTTCATCTATGTTATGTGGTTTTTCGCAGATATATTGTTATTCTTCCATAATGCGTAGTGTTCCATTGTGTATTATGTATCAAAGTTAGTTTATTCATTCTTCTCTTGATGAACATTTAGACTGTCTCCATCTTTTTGTCATTGTGAATAGGGCTGTACTGTACATAGGTGTGCAATATCTACTTGGGTCATTGTTCTTACTTCTTGTGAATATATCCCAAGTAGAGGGAATTATTGAATCATATGGCATTGCTAATTGCAACTTTTTGAGGACAGGCCATACCGTTTTCCACAGTGGTTGCACAATATTATGGTATGTACGTAGAAGGCTCCCAGTCTTTCCACACCCTCACCAGCATTTGTTATTCTCTGTAACTTTGAAGTTTGCTGTTAATGCTGGGGTAAGACTATATCTCATTGCTGTTTTGATTTGCATTTCTGGCACTGTAGGATAAGTACTGCACTGCCAGGTTGATTTGAACTGCTAGGTCAGCAGTTCAAATGCACCAGTTGCTCCTCAGAAAGCCTATATGGGGTCACTCTGAGTTAGAACCGAGTCGATGTCACTTAACAACAACAACGTCTAATGATCGCAAATATTTCTTCATGTTTGTTGGCCTGCTGAATATCTTTCTTGGTGAAGTGTCTGTTTGTACCCGCTACCCATTTTTTTTTAAATGAGTTATTTGTCTTTTTCTTGTAGCTGTATTATTGTTGTTGGTAAGTGCCGTCAAGTTGATTCCAACCCATAGTGACCCTGTATAGAGTTTCCGAGGAGTAGCTGATGAGCTTGAACCTCTGATCTTGCAGTTCAAATGGCTTTGCAATCTGATGCCTTAACCCACAGCACCACACCAGGACTCCAGATGTATTATAGTTTTCTATACATTTTAGAGATTTGTCCCTTGTCTGATATGTCATTGCCAGAAAAATGTCCCTAGTTTGTAGGCTCACTTTTCACTCTTCTGGTGAAATCTTTTGTTGCACATACATGTCTAATTTTTATGGGGGGCCTAATCATCTATTTTGTCTTCTGCGGATTGTGTAGTTTTTAGTTACATTTGATAGTGTATCTATGCCATGTATCCGAGCCCTTAAGTTTGTCCATCTTTTTTTATTGATGATCTTTATAGTTCTAGATTTCACAATTAGGTATTTAATCCATGTTGCATTTAATTTTGCATATGGTATGAGATATGGGTCTTCTTTCATTTTTCAGCAAATGTATTTCCAGTTTAGCCAGCCACATCTGTTAAAGAGACTCTTCCTCATTTAATGTGCTTTGGCCCTTTGTCAAGGATCAGTTGCCTGTATGTGGATGGATTTACTTCTGGTTTCTCAATTCATTTCCATTGATCTATGTATCTTTCACTGTACCCCCACCAGGCTGTTTTGACCACTGTGAATGCGTAGTAGATTTTGAGATCAGGGAGTAAGAGGCCTCCAACTTTGTTCTCCTTCGTCTTCTTTAATGCTTTTATTGTGAATTGAGTGAAGTTCTTCATTAGTAATTGTTTGAGCCCATCTTTGTAGCCACTGTGTCACTTCAGTCTTATTGGGGTCTTCCTCTTTATCACTGACCCTCTACTTCACCGAGCATGGTGCCCTTCCCTAGGTCATCATGAACAGCAGTACAACATTGTCCATTCTATCATTAATTGAAAGATGTATCTGATTTTACATTAAGTTATATTTTGGCTGTCTTAAATGAAATATGTCCTGGGATCTCAGAGTGCAGACTATATTGCACATATGAGAGTAAGTCAAAAAGTATTACTACAAAATCATAGCAATCTTATTAAACAAATATATCAATATGTGAAGCTACTGCTTCCCTCATTTAGGTCTAGACACTTCTGGGAGTCTGAAGGGACAAGCTCAGGGCTGTATGTTGGAAATTTTCATGGAAAAGCCGTCGCTACCCTTGAAGAATGAGCAGCTGCATTGTCACGATGGGAAAAAATTCCCTGGCACACTTTCCTGGCCTTTTTCTCACCAATGCAGTTTTCGGTGTTCTTAAAACGTCTTCATAATAAATTGCTATGATTGTCAGGTATCCTTTGAAAAAAATCTATCAAGATTACCCCTTTGGATTCCCCCCAAAAATGGCCACCATAATCTTCTGAGCTGATCTATCTGCCTTGAATTTAACTGGCCTAGAAGATCCCTTCAGAAGTCAGTTTTGATTGAAGGCACCCTAACGAGACCAAGACAAGTGTATTGCTGAGAGAATTTGTCTGCAGCTATATATTGACCACAGAGCCATGTTTAAACAAGTTTTGTTTTGAATGAACCCATGCATGTATGAAGTGGAACCCTGATAGCAACACTTCCTGACTTACCTTTATATTTAAGAACCATTGTCCCAAAGATTTGGAAAGTCCAAGTCTCCCCTGCCTAGAAGCCCCCCTGTCCCAGACTAGAGGCCTGTAAGATAGTTAGTTTCCTACTCTAAAATTGGAGTCCTGCTGTGGCACAGTGAGTTAATATGCTGGACTGCAAAGCTGGTTTGAAATGCAAGGTCTGCAATTCAAGATCACCAGCTGCTCCTATACAGGATTACTTGGGTCGGAACCAACTCGGCAGCACTTATCAATAACTCTAAAATTCTGTGGTTTATGATCATGTGGACTCTGAGATGAAGAAGCATGTTGGAAATGTACATGCCATTGTAACCACTAGGTTAAAAAGCCAGGATCTTTAAAAGGACATGCCAGGGGCCAGAGGAAGGCAATTCTGTCCTAGGTGGTCCTCTCTCTGCCCCTCCCTCCATTTCTCTGTTTTATCCTATGTGAAGAGCCCTTCTCTGGCTGTTTTAGAGTTTTGGTTTATCCCTGTTCCTGGAAAGTTCTCAGAGCCTCTTCTTGGCCAGAAATGGGAAATGGCAATTTCTCCCTGTTGTTTATCTAGCATTTTCAGTGATTAGCCTACTGCCTTCCATTAGTTTAATCAATGTAAACCCTTTTGTGAATGCTTAACACGTGTGTTGCTCAGAATTCCAGTCTCAGTCATGAGAAACGTTAAAACCAGGTGAGCAACAATATGTGAGCTCACCTGCAGAGCTCTACAGCTTTCTGAGTATAAAGTCATAATAGTACTGTCATCCAGGCTCAGCTTTTCTGAAGGTGGTGGTGGTTGGTGGTTATGTGCCCTGGAGTCGGTTCGGACTCATAGCAACCCTATATAGGGTTTCTAGGGCTGTAAATCTTTACAGGAGCAGAAAATCTCATCTTTCTCTCACAAAACAGATGATTGTTTCAAACTGATGACCATGAGATTAGCAGCCAATTTGTAACAACTACCCTACCAGAGTTCCTTTTTCCAGAGGTATCCGTCTAGTTTTATGTCCTTTATCTCCCTTATAAATCTGAAGGATTTTCTTCATTACCAAAGGTCTTCTCCAATCTTAGCTAGGTCAACTTTGAGGCAGAGATGAAATCTCCTATGGAAAAAATGTCCTACAGAAGCATTTGGCAGAAGAATTTTCATTCCTTCGGAGCCAACCCATCTCAGATTTACACCTAATAATTCTTTCTTTTTATCAATTTTACAGAGACATGCGAGAAATGAAAAACCTTTTAAGCAAACTCAGGGAAACTATGCCTTTACCACTGAAAAATCAAGGTGAGTCTTGTCAGTTCTTTTTTGAAGCAGACATTGTTTTGATAACTTTGGGACTTGTTTCTTGAGAAATTAAAGCAAACTTTTTACACATCCAGTAGCAGACATTGAGTATAGAGAGTTCCTGGGTTATGCACAAGTTTCTAACTGCATTTATGAATTTGTAGGTAGTGTGGTGTTGTGGATTAATGCTCTGGACTGCAAGGTCGGCGATTCAAGCTCACCAACTGCTCCTCAGAAACCCTATACAGGGTCACTATGAATCAGAGCCGACTTGATGGCACTTAACAACAACAACAAATAACCAAGTACATGTGGTTCTTATGTAGCCTGACTTTAAGGCCAAAAAAAGAAAGTCTTGAAATCTTTTCAATGATTTTAAATGCTACATATTCAGCAAGTGAAGGTGATTGTGATGAAGAATTTGCAAAATAAGGGTTGGATTCATTTGTTTCAAAGTGAGGGCAACTTCCAGTAACATCAAAAGGCAGTAAGAATTGTCTGTAAATCAGAGGTTTGTAATCCTGGGCTTACCTGTATATATTTGTCTCCCTTTGAGAAGATTATATAGAGAATGGAGTTTTCAGATGAATGCAGATTTATTCACCAATTTACAGAAAGCTGAAGCCCATAGAAGTTAAATAATAACTTGGCCAAAGTCCCAAAGATTCTAAGTAGAAAGGCTAGAATGTGAACCCAGGCAATCTGTCACCAGAATTATTTGGAGTGTAGAAGTATGCACTTTAACACTGAAAAGAGAGGGGACATTCACTAGACTGCAAATTCAATGAGGGAAGGTTTACTGTATGTTTTGGTTAATTATTGCATCTCCACTACCTATGACAGTGCCTGGAACATCTTAGATAACAATTGGTACAAACATAAATGTCACAGACCCAGGGAGAAGATGTGTACAAATGACTAACAAGCACTTTCATTAAGTGAACAGGAGCAGAGCTGCTATTGATGAAGCAACAAATTCAAATAGTGGCACAGAGAGGCTGGGGAAAGAAGTTTTAGAGGTAAGCAAGGAATTCTTAAGGAGCTATAGTAGCACAATGGCTTAGCTCTCGGCTGCAAATTGATAGGTCGGTGGTTCAAACCCACCAACACTCCACGGGAGAAAAGACCTAGTGATGTGCTTCTGTGAAGACTGTTGTTGTTAGCTGCCATTGAGTCAGTTCCGACTCATAGAGACCCTGGATAGGGTTTCTGAGGAGCGGCTGGTGAGTTTGAACTACCAACCTTGCTGTTCAAAACAATCTTGTAGCCTAGCGCATTATCTTGCGGCAGCACACCAGGACTCCAAACAGTCTAGTAAACTTTACAGGGCGGTTCTACTCTGCCACATTAGGTCATTATGAATTGGAATTGACTCTTGCCCACTACAAAAGAAATTCTTGTTTCTGCTGAGCAGATCCTGGGTGGGAAGGTAGGTCAGGGTCTACTTGCTTCTCTCTGAGTGAGGAGTGGAAGGACTTGTCAGTGGAGCTGGGACAGCTCTTTGGCTTAGGGAGTAGCATGGCAGAAGGGGGAGAGAGGGAAGTGAGAGTAGCAAACAAAGAGCCTGTGGGTTAGCCTCTCTGTACCACCATCCAATTTTGATGCATCACCAATGGCTGCTTTGGCCATGTTCACTTAATGAAAGTACTTAGTAGTCATTTGTACTCATATTTTCCCTGGGTCTGCAGCATTGGATGCAGATTTAACAAACATTTACAGTGTGAACTACTTTGTACCTCAACTGCAAGGGGTAAGGGTATCAGGAAATAAGAGGCAGGGAATACTTCATATCGGATGACTTGAAGGACTTGATCACTGGAGCTACTTAGCTTAAGCTACAGATGTAAGAACATATTGGAGTGATGAGAGATCTCTCTGATGACAACAGGGGTGATGGCTGCTAAAAAATAAGCAAGGTGGTAAGGACCAGGGGCTTGGTATTAAGGCTACCCTTGGGTCCAAATGTTGGCTCTCCCATTTACCAGCTTTGTGCCTGGAACAAGCTGTTAAGCTTTTGGAAACTTCAATTTTCTCATTGGTAAAATAAGGGGATAAGGAACTCTGGTAGCGTAGTGGTTACGAGTCGGACTGCTAACCTCAAGGTCAGCAGTTTGAAATTACCAGCTGTTCTGTGGGAGAAAGATGAGACTTTCTGCTCCCGTAAAGATTTATAGCCTCAGAAACCCTGTGCAGGTTCACTATGAGTCAGAACCAAATCCACAGTACTTAACAACAGCAAAAAAATAAGGGGAGAATAGTAGCACACCCTTCAGAAGGTTGTTAAGAGGATTAAACAAAGCAACACATGTCATATGCATAGTATAACACCTTGCAGAGAATAGACACTCACTGTAGAGTGTTGCTTTATTGTTAGTACTACTTTTTGAATGTTTAACAAGAGAGAAAATAGAGGAAAGTACCATTCCTGGGTCCCTTTTCCCCATCACAAACCTTGAAAATGGTATGAAAATCCTGCCAGGCAAATGCCAGAGTGCCTATAATAAAAATACTGGGATTCTCCTGTTTTCCAGACTCCTTTGTAGTCCCTAACTCAGAAATTGTTCTGGTCTTAGTTTAGTGACTAAAGATGTAATCCTATTTCCCCCCTCTTCCTACCAAAATCAAATGGAGCACTGGTGACATAGTAGCTACAAGTTGGGCTGCTAACTTCAAGGACAGCAGTTTGAAACTACCAGCCGTTCCATGGAAAAAAGATGAGGCTTTCTGCTCCTGTAAAGATTTACACCCTCGAAAACCCTTTGCAGGGCTGTTATGAGTCGGAACCAACTCCAGGGCACACTACGACCACCAGCAAAATCAAAACTTCATTCAATAATTGTTCTTAAGTTCTGTGAATTGGTTCTGACTCACAGCGACCCTGTGCATGACAGAATGAAGCACTGACCAATCCTGAGCCATCCTCACTATTGTTGCCATGTGTAAGCCCATTGTTGCCGCCACTGTGTCTATCCATCTTGATGGGGATCGTCCTCTTTTTTGCTGGTCCTCCACTTTAACAACCATGATGCCCTTCTCCAGGGTCTGATTCCTCTTAACAACATGTGCAAAGAATGAGAGATGAAGTCTCACCATTCTCATGTCTAAAGAGCATTCTGGTTGTACTTCTTCCAAGACAGATTTGTTTATTCTTCTGGCAGTCCGTGGTACTTTTAATATTCTTCTCCAACATCATAATTCAAATGCATGGACTCTTCTATTGTCTTCCTTATTCATTGTTCAAGTTTCACATGCATATGAGGGTCAGGTGACTTGGGTCAGGTACACTTTAGTCCTCAAATTGACATCTCTAACACTTTAAAGAGCTCTTTTGTCTCAGATTTGCTTATGCATTGTGTCATTTGATTTCTTACCTGTGCTTCTGGAGAGTACTGATTGTGGGTCCAAGCAAAATGAAGTCTTTGACAACTTCAATCTGTTCTCCATTTATCATGATGTTATTTATTGGTCCACTGGGTCACCTTTCTTTGGAATGGACAAAAATATGGATCTCTTCCAATCAGTTGGCCAGCTAGCTGTTGTCTAAATTTCTTGGCATAGACTAATCAGTGCTTCCAGTGTTGCATCAGTTTGTTGAAAGATTTCAATTTATATTCCAGGAACTGATGGAATACATATTGACTCAGTAACAGTTTGCTTTAAAATTGTTTTTCATTGGGAAATGGTAAGAATTTTCATAGCTTGTGATTATACCTTTATTATAGACAGAACCTGTTCTTCTCTGTCCTTCCAGTTTAAGACAGGAGAAAAAGAGGGGCACACACAGCTGTGTTCTGCTGCAGCTCCACCAGAGACTTCAGACAATATCCATGTCTCCTGGCTCTCAGCCCACTGTCCTTCCCACTGCTTCAATGTCCACCACCCCCCTAGCATCCCCCTGCCCTACATTCTGGGTCAATGGCAGTGCTGTAGGGAGCTTCATTAATTATGAGAGTCTTGCTGTGTCAAATGGATTATAAATTAAACTACCTGTGGTGAGCCTACAAGGATTCTGATAAAGGGTAAAAGGAGATTGGGAAGTAAAGGACAAGTTTCTTCTAAAATGCATGTTGTTATCAAACAAAACGAATTGGTAGAAATAAATTAAGCCTGAAAGAAAGTTTCACCTTTTCCTAATATCTGAATTAATGAATGCTGTGGGGTATTTTGGTACATTCACTCCTATACAGAATTCAGTTGTTGGATTTGAGTAGGTGTGGAGGTGAATCAGTCAATAATTGGGATCTTTTTAGAATGGGTTATCTCATAATGGATAGTCCTCACTCCAAACTAAATCGGGCCTAAGAACAGTTTCCACCGACTCATATGTGTGATCCACTCTAATCTGGTTCCCATATCCAGAGCTGATCTGTCTGTGCTTGACAGAAGAATTCTCAGGTGCCTGGCTGAAGAACATGCTCTATCTTGGAGACGACCTTCCAGGTCTAAGGTGCCTGACCCAAGCCATGGTCTTTTCAATCACCTCATATGATGTGCAAGTTGGACCGTGAACAAGGAATACCACAGAAGGATCGATGCATTTAAATTAAAGTGCTGGCAAAGAATATTGAAAGTACTATGGAATGCCAAAAGAACAAACAAATCTGTCTTGGAAGAAGTACAGCTAGAATGGTCCTTAGAAGCGAAGTTGGCAAGACTTTGTTTTTCGCACTTTGGACATAATGTCGGGAAGGACCTGTCCCTGGAGAAGGACATCATGTTTCACAAAGTAGAGGGTCATTGAAAAAGAGGAAGAACCTCAGGGAGGTAGAATGATACAGTGGCATCAACAATGGACTCAAACAGTGTTTTATTCTGGCTTACATAGGTTTGATGTGATTCAGCACCAAATTGATGGTACCTAACAATAATGTGTCTGAGAACATAGTTTTAGTTAAACTGTACCATTCTTGTTTTTTATTTGAAAACTTCTCATTTTCATGTTCCTCTTTTTTTGATCATCTAGGTAGGCAATCTTTTATTAGCAAAAGACATATGAGTAA